CTTTGAACCATGGCGCGCGTTTCAGTCTTTTAAGTCTTTACGTTGGAGAATAATTAAGATTCCAAATTCCCAAAAAGACTGGCATGGAGTTGGCATGCTCGGGGTCTGTCCGTTGAAATTTGTATTCCTGATATTATAAAAATGCTAAATAAGCAGTTTAGCAATTCTATAATAACGGGAATCACCCAATAAAGAGTGAGCTTATTGCTCACTCACTATTTACTCGTGATTTACGTGATTTGTGGCTTACTGGCTCACAAGCATAAGTGAAGGTTGCGCTTCGGAAGTCGGAAATCAGAACCGAATTTCCGAATCTTTTGACGCGAAACAAAAACGTAGCTGCTCAGACGCTGCTTAGCATTTATCCAGGCCTGATAGAAATAGCGAGAGAAAGAGAGGTGTTTCCGCTCCAAAAAACAGACAAACAAAGGTAGTGACCACCCCTGTCTCCATCGATGCAATCCASACTCATACTCACACTGTTGATCGCATCGGTGGTCGACGGATTTTCGATGCGCAGCAAACTTGCCGTGTTATCTCCCCAGAATACGAAACGAAATGGAAACCAGAATTTTTCCGGGGCCAGCGGAAGAACCGCATGCGGTTTTAGAAATTTTCATCGGAAGGGCACTTCCGGTTTCATTTCTTACCTATCCCTCGACGAAAGCAACGAAGACAGCTTCAGTGGTGAAAACGAAAACGAAAACGAAAAAAGCGACGAAGACGACAGCAACACCATCGCACGATTCGATGCCGAGCAGCTTTCGAACCGCATCCGGGAAGTAGAGCAATCCGAATCGGAAGTAACCGACAGGTTTACTTCGGGACTCCAGCAACGGGTGCGGGAACTCCGGTCTGCAAAGGCAATCGAGGATCGGTTCCTGTACACCGAGAGAGAGAACCGAAACCAAAACTCCTCATCCAACACCACAACAACAACAACACCATCAACAAAACAAGAATCTCAATCGCGCAAGCTCTTTTTGCCCGTGATTTGTTTCGATGCCCTGCTGCCCAACCAAAAACTTGAGGGATCTACGCAGGATCCCACCTTTATCCGGTTCTTGTTGGAAGAAACCGGACTGGGTGGGTGGTTTGTGATGGTCTCTTTTGAATATCGATCGAGGAAGGTACGGAGGAATGGAGTYCTGTGCAAGGTTGAGTTTCTTGACGCTGCGGCAAAGCCGGACAGCAACAACAGTGATGCGAGTGACAGAGGATATGGTGCCGTTGATGACCACCGYCGAATTCCTACCTCGGTAAGCTTTGTCATAGTGGGGAAACGACGCTGCCGCGTGGAAGGGGATGAAAACGGGCTCCAAGCGAGAATCGGTAGGTGGAGGCGGCAGTACGACGAAAACGGAGAAGAATCYGTGCTGGGGTGGGGGCTGGAACGGTTCACGGACCTACTCCCGGCCAAGCCCAATGCAAAACGCGATCGTTTGTCACAGTCTCTGCCACCAGAGCCGCCTCCCGCCATGCAGGAGGCGCCAAAGATTTCCAGCGATCCGACGCAATGGAGTAGTACAGAAATCGCCACCACTAATCTCGACGGCGATGAGGATGCCACCACCGAACCTCTMCTTCTGCAAAAGGCGGAATCCCTCATTCCCCTCGTCGAGGAATGGTACGGTCTCGCGTCGAACGTCGAAACCTACCGCAATACAAACGTGACGGTTTCAGCACGGGTGGCAAGGGACCAACCAATGCTGCGCATTGATCCGGCRGTTCTCCTAKCCAGGGTCCTTGGGGACCTGGAGGGWGACCAAACCAGCGAACCACCTACTACAACACAACGCTTAGCCCCCGATCCAGCTGTCGACCCAAACGGGTTTGCCTTTTGGGTGGGAGCGCTCCTCAACCCTCTTCCTCCGCTGGGCGTGGCACTAGAGCTCCGGGGTAACCTGCTGGAGGTCCGGACCCTCGGGGAACGCCTAGAAATCCTCGAAAAGGGCTTGCTCAGATCGATCCAGAACCTACGGGGTGAGCRACCCCTGTAACAAACACCGAACAATTTCAGGAAGTATGAGGAATATATATGTATGTAATTCAAAGTAAAAATGTGGGATAAATGGTAGTTTTTAATACGGATGTGTATTCACTCGTGCTATTATAATTTTCGCCAACATTATTTGCATAAATTCCTTCCTTAGGAGCTTGTGTCCCGCGTTCTATAGCAGGTAACACATTCGGCTCAATGCAATCAATCAAATACAAAATTTGATTCAACAACATCTATACAGGCCGTAGCACGAGGATATCCGTTTTTTGTGATGCAACATTGAGGTTTCACCTTTTCGATTCGTTGCCGTTCTTCYGACGAAAAGCATGTCTCTGTCAGTAAAGGATTCTGATCAACAGGCAAAGGACCTCATGCCAAGCAATAACCACACTTTTCCGGACAGAGATCCTTTACGAGCCTGCGTTTCTTTRATTCGGTTTCGCAGGAGGGCTGCTTCTCGTCTTTGCCTACATTTTTGCACTCGTATTTTCCCTTGAAATCGTGGTTCTCGTTCTTCTTGATACGGAACTTTRCCCTGTCCTTACAAACGCACCGAGTGTTACAAACTCCGGGGCATGCCTTCCCCACTCGTTTTTTCCTGCACATTTTCTTCCTCTTSTTCTTGCCGAGGTCCTGCAATTCTTCGCACGTCATTCTTTTGCCCTCGGATTTGAAGCTCGACTTGTTGGTGCAGAGAGTGCCACAGGATTCTTTGSTTGTCTGGCACCAGGGTCCTCGATTRGGATTTGGTTCCCACTCGCCTGGGCATYCAGTGAGGACAAACATRTCATTCACCACTACCGAACTCGGAGTCTTAGAGCCCCACGAACCYAGGCATTGATTGAAAGTTTTAGCACTGTCAAACATCAAATTCATGGATGTAACACTCGATACATCCCACCCGTCGATAGGCTGATTGAAATCGACATTGTTATGAAACATTTTGTTCATCGTTACAACRCTTGAAACATTCCAATTACCAATAGGCTGGTTGAAAGCGGAATCTCGAAACATATCATACATTTCTGTAACACTTGACACATCCCAATCACCGATGGGCAGGTTGAAAACACGATTGTAGTGAAACATCGAARCCATTTCCTTCACACTCGACACATTCCAGTCACCAATAGGTTGATTGAAAAAGCTATACATAAACATTCCGTTCATGGTTGTCACGCTCGACACATCCCAATTTTGAATGGGCTGGTTGAAATGCGAGGTACCTTTGAACATCAAACCCATGTTTGTCACTTTCGACACATTCCAATCACCGATAGGCTGGTTAAAGCGAGTCGCATAAAAAATCTCTCCACCCAAAAACATACCATACATGTTTGTCACGTTCGACACATCCCAATCCCCGATGGGCTGATTGAATTTATTACCGTAAAGAAACATATCTGCCATGTTTTCCACACCCGACACATCCCAATCACCGATGGGCTGGTTGAAAACTTGATTTTGATAAAACATGTAAGACGTGTCAGTCACTTTCGACACATCCCAGTCACCGATGGGCTGATCGAAATAATTATTGTATTCAAACATACGGTGCATGTCAGTTACACTAGACACATCCCAATCACCGATGGGCTGATTGAAATAGCGTGTCGCACGAAACATACCCCTCATGCTTGTCACACTAGACGTATTCCAGCAATCAATATTTTCATCAAAGAAGTATTCCTCTTCACTAACTCCTCCATAACACATATCATATGTATGTGTTCTTGACATATCTGTGATGCCGGACGTGTCCCAGCAGTTCAGCGGAAGGCTATAATTGCAGTCTGTGTTGTYGTAGTAACTAATACAGGTACTGATTTGGGCCCAGAAATCATTCCCATTCACACCAATAACGGGACGCCCATTCGGACAAGATGTAATACAGTCATTCCTCTTCTGAAGCTTACGGTACTCCTTGTTTCTGGAATGGTTGTAGGTAATAGGATCAGTAGAGTAGGCTCCCTGGTGAAAGTTATTGAAACGGTCTTTGTTGTCAACTCTGTCTCTCGATGAATTGAAAATCCCAAAGTCAGGGGAGGCAGATAGATGGTCATTCTCCCTAGCGGRATGACTATTGGTCTCAGTTGGATTGTTTCTGTTTCGGAGCACTTTGGWTCTAGTACCATCGAAAACCTGGGCATCCAAAATGGGGCTCGAGAGCTTCATGGTTTTGGAACCAGATARATTGTTCTTTCCGTYACCTCGATCGTGATTCCCATTGTGACCTTCATCATTTCTACATGATCCAAGGGTAGCAAGAGTTGCGAGAGAGCCAATAGCGAAGCGCATGGTWTCGGAATGAATTTTTGAACGTGAAAGTGGTATCTTTGGTGKTATCATTCAAAAAGAACGAGATATAGAAACAAGACATAAAGGCAAGGTTGAGATCAACAAGGACTTCWCTTGTCGKTTAWTTTTCGGAGCTGGTTCCTCGWCCTGCCCGATGGACTCGGTCRTCGCGATAATTGATTGTATAATACAATGAAGATCATGGATGATGCCTATGGGAAATAAAACCGGTCGAAAATCCAGTGCATTTTGCATCAAAATAGAATTGTGTGACAGTGCTCGTCCTCCATGGTTATGGTCCGATGCCAGCATTCGAKGGTTTCCTATAGGATCGAAATGCCACCCGCTTGGTTCTTTCAACAAGTTCTGCTACCCGATGGAACCGAATAAAAGCATGRTGGAAGACAATACTGCTACACTGCCCCATCGGAGAAATGTAGACTGGCGCAGTTGTTCCCGAGGCAATTTCGTCGTCGATTACAACAAAGATAGCAGGTAGTCATTGCCTCGTCAACAAACAAAACATATTGAATACTCACCGATGAAAGATATRATCAGATAAAATAATGATGCAACTGCACTTTCAATTTCKCAACGGAAAAGGCCAAATWATTCGTAAATYACAAGTGGTGCTGGGAGAACAAAAACTGCTACAGTTACTCGTAGATTACTCTAGACATCTTCAATGGTCAAAGATGTGACATTCTATGCCGTAGCCATATGGTAGTAAGAAATATTCTCAAGAAGTGTTTGAATCGGAGTACGTGTCTGCCATGAACTCATGATCCACATCAGGTTGGATTGCATTAATCGATACGGTACTGGATAAGTATCGGAATCAATTTCAGATCCGTTGAATGATGCCGGAATCCTCAGTGATCGTTCGYTATCGCACCAAAAATTGACATTTTTTTTCTTACAATATTCCTAATACTTATCAAAATTGAATCTTCAATCCAAAGAAGAACGAAAAACAAAAAATATGGCAAAATCAACGTGAAATCTAAAGAAATAAAGTACGTTAATTGAACCACACTTATTAGGCATATATCACAGGTGTTCGTATCGTACGAAAAGGGGATTTTGTTTCATATTATACGTTTTCTTAGAGTTAGGGATAACACTATATTTGGTAGGAATCAAGCAATCTGATTGGCTAATTAGATAGATCAAAATTATCGAAACTGTTTTTGGCACACGCAACAACGTTTCACAACCAGAAGGACCCTGCGAATTCTAAAACTGTATTTTTATCTATCTTATTAGCCAATCATATTGCTCGATTTCCACCAAATTATTTCCCTAACTCCAAGAAAACGTCTAATATGAAACAAAATCCCCCTCCGAACACCTGTGATATATGACTATAATCAGTAGGGGTCATAATGACGTGTAAACTGTACGAAGCGCATTACTGTACAATATTCTACTTTAACAATCAGTAGCCAAAAATTCTTACTTSAATGTCTGTGGAAAGTTTAAGGAACACAAGAGTCATCATCTTCAAGTCGTACTGTGCCGTACATGTTTGAAGTACAGTACGGTAATAAAGTTGCAGTCAACATCAACCACTTCGTTGCACCTTCGCAAGGTCACAATGACACCTATGGCCTCTTACAGTAGGTACGTACGAGTAGTACTGTATCTTCCGATTAAACTCTAAACTGCACACATCTTTTCTACCGTACGAAGGTACAGTAACATGTACGTACGGTACCAACGATCTTTCGGTGCGAGAAGTGATGGAAATTATCGAAACCAAAGAAAACTCCAAATGCTGTACTGCTCAACTGTTGRACTACGCGATCGTAAATATAAGAGGATATGGCGATGCTTTGTTCCCACACAAAATATAGTAGAAGTAGATACATAGATTATGATATTATATTCAATCCGCAGCTGGATGTGTTTGTAGCGTGGGAACAGGGCCGGGTTTCAGGGGCGAAAACAATCGACCGGATCGACCAGGGAATCCAAACACGGCTGCATCGTACNCTGGATGTGTTTGTAGCGTGGGAACAGGGCCGGGTTTCAGGGGCGAAAACAATCGACCGGATCGACCAGGGAATCCAAACACGGCTGCATCGTACGGTACGGTACCGTACCGTACCTGTGCCGCGATGCCGCTTCGCAGCCGCCACGCGCTCGTCGTTGCAGGAAAAACAACCGAACCGCGGGTTGCTCGAAAGGCCGTTCGTTCGTCTTCGAGTGCTTGTTGGGATTCGGCGCAACAACACCTATCCCTGGCGGGGCCTCGAGCGAAAGCCCGCTGCGTTTGTGCCTCCGTGGTTGTTGTTCGAGGCGTCGGTGCGACTGCCCTCTCCCGGAAGAATGGAACGCTGTCCGTTCCGTGTGCCCCTGCGGGTGCGGTGGCATCGTTTCGTCCACGCCGAACCATTCTTTGTTCCGGGGGTAGGAACCCAACCAAAGGGCGGTGGAATCCCTGTCGGTGAATGGCAGAACTACTGTAGTAGGTGCCGGTAGACGTCGACAGAAAGTGTCTGCAGCCGGGGCCATTCGTCGCCGGCTGGGGAGAGCCGCGTGCGAAGGCCGCGTTTCGCACGAAAGGGAAACCATTGGCGTCCCTTCGACCGATCGATCCGCGGGTGCATTTGCCACGCGGTGTCGGTCTCGCAGGRTTCTCTCKGTCCGGCGCCAGCGTTTTGCKTCTAGAGGATGCGCCRTTTTGGGTGTTGTGTCGGGAATGGAGATTGGCATTGCTGCAACTGCTTTATTTTTTATTATATTATTGTTTSTTCATTAGTAGTATTCGGACGAACCATACGGCATGGGACACGGAAGCAGAGTACGAAACAAGGCTCTCTCGAGACCCGCGGGCATCGCGTCCGAGCGCGGCACAGCCACCAAGCACAGCATCGCCGCGCAGCAGTGACGAAGCGCAMCCYGTGTGCACCGCCATCCCCTATCGAAACCTGCACCGGGATTYGTTCATAGCCRTTGCGCAGGCAAAGCATCGAGGGCAACAAAAACACCGAACCACATGGGTGAGTGGGGGAATTCCTGCCGAATGGCGGCAAACATTGCACCGGATGCATTGCCGTTGTTGTTGTTGTTGCATCGCAATCGCAATYGCGACCAACCCGGCCTACAAATAATCGCAACAASAGATCGAGCACGTACCAAATTCCAAACATGAGCGAGGCAATGGATCCACCTAGCAAAGCCCCGCCTACGACGTCGGCGGGGTGATGGAAATTGTCGTGGACCCTCGACACGGCTGCATTGCCATCGTTTCCGTTTGTGTTGGAAGGTGTTGCATTCCATTCCATTTCATTGGTTTGGTGTGTATCACCCATCGACGATCGATCGATCAATCAATCAATAGAGGGATAGTGCGAGCAATTTCAGAAACGAGGCACAATTAGAGATTTTCGAGAATGGAACATCGATGTGATTTGATTGGTCGCAAAACCAGAGATGGGAAAACCGATGCACGACTTGTGGCATCTGTTCCGCCCGCGGGTCCATTCCGCGAAACGAAACAAAACAAAACAAAAATGCAACAACACCAAACACGCAAACAAACCAGAGGACATCCCACCCCTCTCGTCCCGTCGAACACGCCCCGGTCCGATCCGGTCATGCCATGCCATGCCATGCCATGCCGTGTCCCACTCACCAATGAAAATCGCCAGCAGCATGGGCGAAAAGCAGGCCACCGATCCGAGCCTCGTCCAGGGAGAGGCCTCCGGGGACTGGCCGGACCGCCGGCCTCCCCCGAGACCTCGCTCCCAGGCCGACAGTCCCAGGGTGTCCTCGAGGAAGAGGGAGAAGAGGAGGAGCCCACAGACGCTCATGCTCGCGTGGCCCGACGGAAAGCTGACCCTTCCCTTGTGCGCACCGCTCTCGTCGGTGCACTCCCCGTAGTCCCCGTCGGGCTGGCAGTACTCGAAAAAGACGGGCCGGAGGTACCCCACGTACAGCTTGGCGAGGTTCGTCAGCGTCTGGGTCCAGCCGGTGGCCATGAAATAGACGCACAAGGTCTTGTGGAGGGCGTCCCTCCGGAGGGTGGAAGCCCCCYTCTTCTGGAGCACCGCTATGAGGCCCACCTGCAGCAGAAAGGGAACAGCGATCGCCAGAGCGAACATGAGGGGCGGCGAGACCGTCTCGTCTCTCCTGGGAAAGCCAAAGAGGTACGACTCGATGGTGATCGAATCGCCGTCCTCCGTCGTGGTCTGCTCCACGGGCATGGGCCGCTGGTGGGGCGTCCCGAACTCCAGGGCGATTCCGGCGGGCACCGGGAGGAAGCACAGGAGGACCTCGATCCACCTGCCCGCGCGGCTTGTTCCGCTCGGAGAGCACCTGCCCCTGTCGCTGCCGTTGCGGTCCACGGGATTCCCGGCGCTTTCGTCGCCGGCGGGAGAAGGATCGGCCTCGTCGTAATCGAACGACATGGTGCGTTCTGCTTTTGTTTCCCTTGCCGTTGCCTTTGCCGTTGCCGTTGTCGTTGCCGTTGCCGTTGCCGTTGCCGTTGCCGTTGCCGTTTTGGTCGTCTTGTTGGGGTTGCCTTTTCGCAAATGTGCTGCTTTTCGGTGCCTCTGGCGCATGCGCTGTTTGCCACCTCGTTGTTTGGTCGTGCTTGGTTCTTGTTCGTTGGTAAAATGCTGTGTGGGAGGCCGATCTATTCGGAACTTGTTGTTGATCTACCGGTACACCGACGAATACCGATTCGAGCAGGGTACATTATGTACCGGTACTATTAGTAGTACCGTACAATACTACACAAGGTGGATCTTGTTCTAATTTCGATTGGCCAAGAGAATCAGTTTGAATCTTGAATGTCTTTTTGTCTTCACTCCTCAGCTCATGAAAATCAAAAACAAAACCTCCGTCGCCACAAAAGTATTCATATGATCTATATCATGGTATGGTACGTACAGTATGTATCTAATATCTTTCTGCCTGTATTCCTCATTCACGAAATAATTTCAATCACGCAAGTCGAATCAACTACTATCAACTACTACGTGTAACGCGGTACTGTAACGGAATACGGACAGAATGTGTGTCGCATCGTGTCGGAACATACCGTACATGCCGGCCGGSCGGGAGCGTGCTGGAATTCTTTTTCTCGAGAACAGTTTTCGAAGATATCGGCTCCGATTCAATAGATAGATTTTGGTGATGACTTCTTCGATCGATCGATTCGATTCGATTCGTTCAATCAAGACGGTGATGTACCGGTATGTTTGAATCAACCCTSGCAATCACCATCAAACGAGTGCGCAAGKTGACGATAGAGACAGACAGGTTCCAGCATCCCTCGCTTCCCAAAACAATCCTACCGTAGGTCGCACCAGAACAAACTTCGCAACAACCACAAAGAATCCCCACTACCGACAGCACTGCGCTATAATCACGAGGCACCATGCTCTTCCGAACAACGACAGCAGCCGCAAGAACCGCAGTAGCAGCAGCAGCAGCAAGAACAGCAACAACGAGAACAACGGCAATGCGACCCCCCTTCCCCTCGCGGTTGCGGCAGCACCGTTCGTACACCATCCCCGTCGTGCTGGAGAGCGGGGCCACCGGGGAGCGGTCCTTCGACATCTATTCCCGGCTGCTCCGGGAGCGCATCGTCTGCGTCCACGGCGAGGTCACGGACCAGATGGCCTCGGTGGTGACGGCCCAGCTCCTCTTTCTGGAGGCGGAGGACCCCGACTCGCCCCTCTACATGTACATCAACAGCCCGGGGGGGAGCGTCACCGCCGGGATGGCCATGTACGACACGATGCAGTACATCCGGCCCAAGGTCCACACCATCGCCATGGGCCAGGCCGCCTCGATGGGCTCCCTCCTCCTGGCCGGCGGGTCCAGGGGCTGCCGCTGCGCCCTTCCCAACGCCACCATCATGCTGCACCAGCCCAGCGGGGGGGCCCAGGGGATGGCCTCGGACATTCAGATCCGGGCCCAGGAACTCCTGCGGCTGCGGTCCCGTCTCAACGACCTCTACGTCTACCACACGGCCAAGGGGAGGGACCACCGGCGGAAGCAGCAGCAGCAGGACCCCGACGCCGGCGCCGCCCCCGTCGGGACCACCGATCCGGTCGAGCTCCTCAAGGAGGTCGAGGCCGTCATGGACCGCGACACCTTCATGACGGCGGACCAGGCGAGGGACTTTGGGATCGTGGACGAGATCCTGATCAAGCGGGAACGGAACGAGGACGACGASGAGGAGGASGACGACGAGCCACCGATCCGATAGGTGCAGCGGGCAGCGGGACCGAAAAAAGAGCGCGGTGCACCGGTGGGCGAGGGCCGAGAGGTTCCCTTTTTTTGGGGGGGCACACAAACCTGCGTAGCGAATCATAACCTAGTACAGTAAAAACTACAAGCATACTACTATTGCATTTGTACGCCTTGCAATGCAACAGTGCTGGCTTCTGCGCGAATCCTCCGGGCAAGCACGCACGAGCCAAAACCGTCGGATTCCAATGGCGTTCGCAGGCAGTTTCGTGTTTTTCCGCGTTCCCGGGGCTGCCTCGTGGGTTTTCTTGTGTTCCGTCCTCGCCAACCGGCTCTGCGATGCCCAGAAATCGTCCGGGATCCGAACGAGTTGTTGCGAACGGCACCGCGCTTGGGGAATCAAAGCGAAGCGAAGCGCGACCAACGCCAAYCACAGCCGGCTTTGTTCCGGATCCAGCAGAGCCCCGCTGTATTCTCCGTTCGTGCTTCTGCGCAACAAGTACGGGTGTTCCAGATTCCSGCGAAACCGCGACGGACCCTGGTTCTAGAACCAAGAACGATCCGTAATTGCGACCTGCTTGGCCCAARCTTTGCCCTCCGGTCCGGTCTCGTGCATTTGCTGGCTCGGCCCTTTTTGGGGGGTCTCGATGGATGATTCCAAACGCCGCACTCCATCGCTCGCCACGATCTGCTGCTGAACCGTACAAATAAAAACAAAAACGAAAAACAACAACGGGACGAACGCTTTATCTTCCTTGTTGCTTGGCGAAACAAAGTGATTTCCTTGGCTTTGCTCCGTCGCTCGCCAACAGCGAGAGAAAAATCAACCAGAGATTCATCACGGGAACATGCTTCAAGTTCTATTGCACAGCGAAAGACAGAGGTGATACGGGGTCGATCCGGGTCAACAACAATTGGAATAAGTCTATGGTAGCGTGCTTTCGTTGAGTGCGGCACTCGAATTCGGTTTCGTTCTCGCAAAAATAAAGCCTTTTACGTATCTGTCTGTTGGATGGATGAAGTACGGGGAATGGCAATGGTTCCACATACGATACATTGCACTACCTGGTACAATACTCGTAGGACTTACTTGAGAGAGAGCGAATAAACCTGAAAAAAAAAGAATGACACCCCCACTTACTGTATCCATATTATACATACCATCCATATGACCTGTGAAAGCCTCATCCTATGTTATTCCGTCTGTCCATATACCCGTATGAGTGAATGATGATGATGGTGATGATGATTCACCTTGTCTAGACGAACGTTTTTCCGTCTTCCAACCAAAAAGTCACATCACCCATCACATCTTGCCGACGCTACGTATGTACTGGTACGTACCATGCGGTACGAGTAGACGGTAACGAAAAAATTATTTTATTCTTGTCGAATTACCGTATCGAAAAGTTCGGAAAGCAAGAGAAGAGCAACAGAATTGTTTCGCAGAACAACCATAGGACAGCCGTTCCCCAAAATCCGACAAAGTAAAAAGCATACATTGTTCTCAAGAGAAACAGGCAAAGGAACTCAGAGAGGAGACTTCGGCTACCAAAATTAGACGGCGCTACTTAAATATTCGACTCCACKGGAAAATGTCGATKTGGAGAACGCCTTTGGCGCTGGCCATTGCAGCTGTCGCAGCAGCGGTCCCATCGATTTCTCTGGTGAATGCCTTCTCGTTCATAGACCACCACCCAATACAACAKCAATCGTCGAATCTGTCTTCTGGGTTCCAGCTGCGCATGGTGGCATCAACGCCGCCAGCGAAATCCGGAGCCACCACTCAATACCCGAATCCCAAGCTGACYGATCCATGGTATTCCACGCGAATTCAAAAAGATATGGAGTACTCCACAAATGTCAGGTCACTCTACATTCGACACGTGGTGGTAGAACGAAAGGAAACGGCTGAATTGGCCCTGGATTGGTACATGCAGCTGAGTTCGGGGGAAACAATCACCAGCACCGGCGATGACGACGACGATATCGTGGTGCTCACGACGAGCCGAGATCCGTTCGGGGATGTAGCGAAACAGTTGTCGGCGTGTTCTATGACCCGGGATGAGGGCGGAAAAATCGGTTGGGTGGATATTCCTTCGGGGGAGGAAGACAGCGASAACTCTTCCGCRGAATTGACGTTTGCGTCTCTTATTCCGCTAGATATTCTGGAAAAGCTCGTTGAGTTGCAACCAAAAGCCGGTGACGTACATATTGTTGGCCCGAGTTCTATGACRAACCAGGTTCACGTCATTCGTGTGGAAGAATTGTACGTACCAAATGTATTGCCCAAAATGATCCATAAGGTTTACGACAAGAAACAAAACGACGACAAAGACATAAAATTGGGATCCTTTAGCGGTGTGAACGCTCTGATTCCGCGGAACAAAYTGAAGGGCCATGGTGTCATGCCCACAGTGCCAAAATTCGAACGACGAAGCGGAACCAAAGAAAAGGAGGAGGACCAACACCAAAGGACTTACGCGATTCAAACCAATGGGTGCCAGATGAATGTTGCGGATTCCGAGCGGCTCGAGGGGATTTTGCAGGACGAACTGGGACTAGTGCCTGTCTCTGATAGGAGCAGCAAGGAGGAAATCAACCGYGCCGACGTCATCATYTTCAACACCTGCAGCATCCGTGACCACGCMGAACAAAAGCTCTACGACGCGCTTGGTCCGTTCCGTGCCCGGAAGCGGCAAAAAAGCTCTGAAGACAGCAACTTTGCGCTTATCGTCACAGGTTGTGTCGCCCAGCAAGAAGGAAAGGCACTGCTGCGAAAGATTCCGGAAATCGACGTGGTACTGGGCCCGCAATAYGTTCCCTATCTGGGATCTGTGCTGGAACAAATCGAGTGGGGCCATCAGCTAGTGGTTACCGCMCCAACKATCATCGCCGACAATTACAAGGCAGCAGGGGCTACGACGACAACGACGACACCAACAACAGTGGAAATAGATCGGAGCAGCAAGGCAACAGACACTGTTCTCAACAATGATTCGGATCAGGTTGGTTCATCCGAACCGTCCCTCGGTGGCTTGGCCCAGAAATCGGCTTCGYCTGTATCGATCGAGCTTCCAGAAAACGATGACTTTTCGGCCAAGCCCATACGCGGACACTCCGTTCGAGCGTGGGTCAATGTTATTTACGGCTGTAACGAGCATTGCACATATTGTGTGTGAGTAAATCCTTTTGAWCCTTCTCTAACATWACGTTTTTCAGCGGCTGGTGAAGGAATATCGGAAGTAGATTCATGGAACTGACGAGTGTTKTCTGATTATCTTTCTCTATTTCTATTCACATTGATACACAATACTTCTATGTTGACCTTGAACAATCCTTCTAATGATCGAAAAGTGTCCCCGCAAGTAAGTTTTCTTCGTCAAATTTGGTAATTTATGATGAAGGAATTGCTGCTCAGATTTTGCGCTGTTCGCATCCAAGTATTTATTTTCTGACCTCTCCTCTTCAATTTGTGTTCCTTTGTGTCATTCCGTTCCATTACCTACTCACTTGTGATTTAGCTCGCGGGATGGAACAGTCTCGTTCGATGGAGAACATCCTGCAAGAATGCCTGGATCTCGTTGAAAACCGCGGGTACAAAGAAATTACGCTACTGGGGCAAAATATCGATGCCTATGGACGCGATATGGTCCCGAAGCGGTCCTTCGCCGATCTCTTGCACTTCTTGGATGCCAACCTCCCCCCTACGAGGATCCGGTATGTGACTTCCCATCCACGGTACTTCTCAGACCGCGTCATCGATGCAGTCGCCTCCCTCAACAGCCTGTGCGAGTGCTTCCACATGCCCTTCCAGGCAGGTGATAACGACGTTCTGAGGCGGATGCGGCGGGGATACAGCTTCGAGAGCTACATGAAAATCATCAATAAAATCCGTGCTGCGTCGCCCGATGCGGCCATCACGGCGGACGTGATTGTTGGATTCCCAGGAGAAACAGAGGAAGCCTTCCAGCGAACGCTGGATCTGATGGAGGCTGTGAAGTTCGACAACCTTAACTCGTTCGCATACTCRCCCCGGCCCAACACGGAAGCTGCCACGTGGACCGATGAGAGTGATGACGTTGTGCCCGAAGCCGTCAAGAAGGAACGTCTCGCCCGCGTCCAGGAGCTAGCGGTGAAGCACGGGCTGGAGCGGAGCAAGCGGTACCTTGGCAGGACTGTGGAGGTCCTGGTGGAGGACAAAAACCCTCGGGGGTCCGGACAGGTCATGGGTCGGACGCGGCAGGGCCGACAGGTGTTTTTCGACGGGAATTTCGAAGAGCTCAAGGGAGAATTGGTCGACGTGGAAATCACGGAGGCAAGAACCTGGAGCTTGATGGGAAAACCGAAGCACTAGGACTAAACTGCATTCTAGCTGGACTACTTTGTTAACATKATTCAAACGCCTTTTCGAATTATAGAATCCATGTGCATCCAAGAATTTGTTGCGATGAGATTACCTCGTGTTTGAAAAACAGAACGGAATCGAGTGTTATTAGTAGTACCGTACTTTAGAAAGGATATTGAGGCAAGAGCACACGATCAATGSACAAATACTATGCGAACAATTTTTATTCTCTTGAAGAAGGTCGTGAAGATATSATCTTTTGAGAGCTTTCATCGACTTCTGAGAATTAATTCCCCTTTCCTTCTGTAGGCCTAACATACTTAAGCATAGCCACCATCTATTAACTTGAGACATCTTCTTTATTGGAAAAACTCTTCAATCACCAACTTCTAAGCTGATGYATTAACTTCAACTAGTACCACCGGGTACTTTTCTATACTCTCTTTAGGGCGCCAGCAAGCTTCCATTCCCACTACCACCACAGTATTGCCTGGTAGCATGGCTGGCGTGGTAAAATCGTTGATACCGAACGTCCCAGTAAAAAATCTGTGTCATTCTATTCTATTGTCACTAGCCAAAGGCAACAATTTGAAAGAATGATTTTGGAGTTGTGGGTGTTTAGTTTGGGTCTCAAAATGATGCGATTGAGGGAGGCAAAAGAATGTCACACATGGACGTTGAGAAAAGGTCGATGCAGACGTTGCTTTGTCTGGGAATCGAACCCAGGACATCTGCTTGGAAGGCAGATATTTTACCACTAAACTAACAAAGCTTTTTTTGAAGCTATGCTTGAACGTTTAGGACGCATTTGGAATTATCATCTCTGTTTTTATCTTGTGACGTCGTACGAGTAAAAAGCACCCTGTCAACCGGGGCAATAGTCCTGAACAGGGATTGGTCAGCGATCTTGAACGACAAAATGGAAACTCAAATAATGGAAACAACAAATTGTGATGAAACTACGAGTACGAGTACCGTTTTGGGATGGATGCACAATGCACTGCACAACCAAGAAGCCGTAATCTCTGTGGAGGGCAGAGAAGCCTAACTTCTTCAACAAGCCTTGTTAAGAAAACATGATTCGCACGAACAAACGACCGACGATACACACCACGGATGCAAATATACGCCACCAATCATTTATCGTTTCTTGGAACTTCAACACGCAAGTCACTTAACTATCCACTGCATTAGGTTCCACTGCACGACAACGACACAATGGTGTTCAAAGAAAGTGTCGTAAGACCAAAAGAAGCCTCTAATTGTTTTCTCTTGCGTCAGCTGTAATAGTAAGTGTGGATGAAGCATGCACGAAGCTGTTCTGAGCAACAGAGAAGCTTGCTGGGGATACAATTGTCTTGGGAGTAAAAATTGTTGTSGTACTAATAGTAGGTATCGAGACAAACGATAGAAAAGGACCAAAAATGGAATTCYAGAATGTTCTGTCTGAAGAGTAAATATTGTCTTCACAACAATAGCCCACCTGTCCTAATACTATTGCAGATCAAATGCCAGTACAACACAATTAAGTTTCTGCTGTATCCCGCTTCCTCAAAGCTGAACGGAAGCATGCCAACCGAATCTTCACATCACACTTTCTCCCAAGAAGCAACCGATGCGGTACGTACTTAACTTCAACAAAGTTTGGCTCGGTACGGTACTGCTGTAATCTACGATGCAATATGGATGAGAATGCGAGATGCCAACACGATCGGCCACCGGATCGGAACGCAATACTGTAAGAGAGGTGCACCAAGAACAACAAATACTGTTGCCAAAATTCGCACAGAAAACCATCCCTGGTTCTCATACTTTTGAAACTCGATTCAAGTGAAATGAAATCGGCCAAGCAAAGCAATACACACTAAGTACGTACTGTTCTGCATCCAATCCAATTTTCCCTCTCCACTCTTCTATTTTTCTACCACACGAGACCGTACCAATCTGTGCAATAGAGCAACCATCCTCTGCAATGAACAATCGCCAATCGACCACCACTACCAATGGTATTTGCTTCGGCAACAACAGTGCGAACCAAAACCACTCGCACCGTCTCAACCAACTTTCTTCTTCCGGGGTTCGAAACGCAGTTCGAAACCGAACCATGGAGATGACGCTGCCCTTCTTTCGAAATGGAGGCGGCTCTACCAAGAGCAAGGGGATCACAACCCGAAATGCCATTGCCAAGGCCATTGACATTGCAAACGATAGCATCAGGAACATCAACGGCAAGACTACCGAGAACAAGCCCAAGAGCAAGAATCCTGGTGACTGCGATTTTGACGAAGACGGTGATGACGATGCCAACTCCACCTCCACACCTCTTCTTCTTCCTCCCCTTAAGCGATCCCGAAGCGATTCTCCTACAGGAGTAATGGACGTTCACTTCTTCCAGGAAGATAAGAATAGCAACAAGCTCGACGACGACGACGACGACGACGACGATGGCTTTGGGCTACTTCCCTTCTCGACCCTCACCTTTCCAGACGATGATAGCGAGGCTACTTCTTGCCACTCGGATGCTTTCAACGCCGAGAACCATTACACCGATGCCGGTATGGCCCATCCCTTTCTCGAGGAGATCAACAAGGCAGCAAGTTCGAGCAGCAGCATCGAGCCCCTCCCCCTCTTGGCCTCRGTATCCCGCGAGCTCTCCGATCTTCTGCACCAATACCTCCCCAAGACTAAGCTCGAGCTCTACGAGGGTCCCATGGAATTCGAGGACGAGATCGAGGACGGCCTTGCTTCTGGAATGCAAATTCAGAACACGACAATGGCCACGAAAGCGTTGCCAAACATCGATGCGAACAAGAACACCAACTCGTACTCCAAGCAGCAGCAGCAGCAGCAGCAGCTCCTCCAGTGCTTCAACAGCAACAGCAACAGCATCCACATGAACATGAACATGAATGCCTGGAAAAGAAACCTCCTTCCTGATTTTAAGCTAGCAACAGATGCAATGATCAAAGATACCTCTATGACCTTTGGGGGAAGCAATCTAACTCTCTTTCAGTTCCTTATGGGGAACACCAATTTCAACTTGAGATACAAACCATCGTCTTCCAAGGCAACAGCTGTCGCCGCATCGTCCTCCAAGTTCCAAGGCGTACTCAACAAGCCGAGCAAAAAGGCAAAGAAACAAGCAGTCAAATCAGCTGCTTCCAACTCATCGAAAGATAGGAACAACAAGAACAAGAGCAGCTATGCTATTGACAAGATCACCAAGAGAGGCACCAACAAGAAGCACAACAACGGCAGCAACATCTCCGTATACGCCGCCCGTCCCTCCAAGAAGCAGCGCCTCCAGTCGGCCGCCACCACCCTCCTGCTCGATAAAGTCCAGCTCCGTGACGACGTCCAGAAACTCACCGTCGAAAACGACGTCGACGAACAGACCCGGATTATCGAGCACACCTGGGATCACAACTACAACAGGCTCGTCAAGTTCTACGAGGCCAACGGCCATTCGAACGTACTCCGAAGCGACCCCGACAAGCAGCTCAGTGGGTGGGTCAAGCGCCAGCGAAACAACCTCAAGGACCAAAAGCTKAGTGCCTCGCAGATCCAGAAACTCGACGACCTCAAGTTCGTCTGGAACCGCCTCGAGGGAGCCTGGTACGACAAGTATGACATGTTGGTGGCATTTGAGTCCAG